TAGGTTACCAAAAACCCAGAAACTCGACTGCACTAGCCACATAAGTATAGTAGCTACAAGAGCAGTTCAGAGGCAAGAAATACTGCAGCAAGCAACTCTCCACCTGACTCCCCTCAAAGCCTATCCACCACCTACAAGACAGAAATCAGCAGTGTGATGGAACACTCTACAATTGGTTGGATGATTGCAGCTCCAACAACACTCGAGGCTTGACACTGTTCAAGACAAAGCAGCCCCCTTCGCTGGCACCTCTTCCACAAACACCCACTCCCTCCACCACCGACGCTCAGTAGCAGCAACAAAATGCACTGCAGAAATTCATTAAAGATCCTCAGACAACACCTTCCAAACACACAACCAATACCATCTAGAAGGAGAAGGGTAGCAGATACATGGGTTCATAACCACCAGCAAGTTCCCCTCCAAGTCACTCACCATCCTGATTTGGAAATATATTGCTGTTTCTTTACTGTCATTGGGTCAAAGTTCCGGAACTCCCTCCCTAACTGCACGGTGTGTCTACCTATACACATGGACTGCAATGGTTCAAGAGGGCAGCTTGCTGCCACTTTGTCAAGGGCAACAAGTGTTGGCCAAGCCAGCAATGCTCACTTCCTATGTGTGTCCTCCTGTTCTAGACTTTCCAAGAACTGCTTTATCAACTCTCTTGACCATGTTAATACACCTCAATTATGTCAACCTTTTAAATTCAAGGGAACACAAGCTTAGTCTAATATTCCATCCTTATCATTTAAGCAGTTTAACTGCTGGACCATTCTGCTCAATCCAGACCATAAGATGTAGAAGGACAAGTAGGCCATTCAGCCCATTAGTCTGTTCTGTCATTCAATGAGATCAAGGCTGATCTTATAATACGCAACACCACTTTTCATCTATAGCCTTGAATTTATTTAATGATCCATCCTGCTCAAAACTCTGCAATAAAGAATACCACAGATTCACTGTCCTCTAACAGACTAAATTCCTCCTCATCTCTGTCTTAAAAGTGAGATTCTAAGGTTATGCCGTCTGGTCCTAGACTCTCCCATAAGGGGAAACAAACTCTCTGCATCTATCCAGTCAAGTATTCGAATGTTTCATTAAGGCCACCATCATTTTTCTAAATGCCAATGAGTAGAGGCCCAATTTACTCAATCCATTAATTGGAGTAGCCTGTTCGCATGTAAAAGGATATCTGACAAGTGGGAGGTTTTTAAGAGTGTGATGATGTGAGTTTAGAGGCATTATGTTCCTGTTAGAGTGAAGGGTAAAGTTAGTAAGATTAAGGAACAATGGATGAATAAAGATATTGAGGTTCTAGTCTTTACCCAAAGAGTGGTGAGCCTGAGGAATTCATTACCACAGGAAGTAGTTGATGCCAAAATACTGTATGTATTCAAGAGACAACTAGGTATAGCACTTTGGGTGAATGGGTTAAAGATTACATGGAGAAAGCAGGATTAGGCTATTGAGTTGGATGATCAGCCATGATCGTGAAGAATGGCAGAGCAGGCTTGAAGGGCTGAATGGCCTTGTCCTGCTCCTATCTTCTATGTTTTTATGAATAAAAGAGAATCTTATTTTAGATATGGATAACTTGGTTCAATTGATTCTCTTAATCAATATAAACAGTGTAAGGGTATTCTTAAGAAAAAAATCAGGAAGGCAAAGAGGGGATATGAGATAGCATTGGCAGATAAGGTTAAAGATAATCCAAAGAGATTCTACAAATACATTAAGAGCAAGAAGGTAATTAGATAGATGGTAGGACCCCTTAAGGATTAAGGAGGTCTTTGTGTTGAACCCCTCGAAATGGGAGAATTACTAAATGAATATTTTGCGTCAGTTTTTACCATGGAGAAAGAAATGGAGTATGGAGAATGCAGAGAAATAAACATTGATGTTTTTAAAACAGTTAACATTACACAAGAGAAAGTTCAGGAGGTCTTAGAGAAAATAAAGATGGATAAAGCTCTGGGAGTTGATCTAATGTATCCCAGAATGTTGTGGGAATTAAGAGGGAAAATAATGAGACCCGTTGCAGAAATATTTGCATCATCTATAACTATGGGTAAGGTGCCTGATGATTGGACGGTAGCTGATGTTACATCTTTGTTTAAGAAAGTTTGTAAGGAGACACCAGGGGTCTATAGACCTGTGAGTCTGACTTTGGTTATGGATAAATTGTTGGAGGTGATTATAAAAGATAGATTTATGGACATTTAGAGAGGCAAAAATTGATTAGGGATAGTCAGCATGGCTTTGTGCAAAGGAAATTGTGACTCACAAACTTGATGGAGTTTTTTGAGGATGTTACCAAAAAGATTGATGAGGGCAGGCAGTAGACCTTATTTACTTGGACTTCAGTAAAGCCTTTGACAAGGTTCCACAGGGTAAACTAATTAGTAAAGTTAAATACAAGGGATTCAGGGTGAGCTTGGCAATTGTATACATAATTAGCTACACAACAGGACACAGAGATTGGTGGGGGAGGGTTGCTTTTATGACTGGAGGCCTGTCACTAGTGGTGTTCCACAGGGTTTGGTTCTGGGTTGTATTTTGTTTGTCATTTATATGATTTAGATGAGAATATAATTAATAAGTTTGCACACGACACCAAAATTGGTGGTGTAGAAGACAGTGAAGAAGGTTTTTTTGATTACAAAGGGATCTTGATCAATTGGATCAATGGGCTGAAAAATGGCAGATGGAGTTCAATCTGGATAAATGTGAGGTATTGCATTTTGGTAAAACAAACATGGGGCAGGACTTATACAATTAATGGTAGGGCCTTAAGTAGTGTTGGAGAACAGAGGGACCTAAGGGTGCAGGTACATAATTTTTTGAAGTTTGCATCACATACAGAGAGTTGATTAAAAAGGCGTTTAGCACGCTTGCCTTCATTGCTCAGTATTTTGAGTATAGAAGTTGGGAAGCCATATTGAGGTTGTACAGAACATCGGTGAGGCCTCTTCTGGAATACTGTGTCCAGTTCTGGTCACCCAGTTATAGGAAGGATATTACCAAGCTGGAGAGGGTTCAGCAGAGATTTACCAGGATGTTGCCAGGTTTGGAAGGTTTGAGTTATGAAGAAAGGCTGGGACTTTTTCCACTGGAGCATAGGAGGTTGACAAGCGACCTTATAAAAGTTTATAAAATAATGAGGGGTATACATAGAGTTAATGGTAGTTGTCTTTTCCTTAGGATGGGGGATTCTAAGACTAGGGGCACATTTTTAAGGTGAGAGGAAAAAGATTTTAAAAAGACATGGAGCAAATCTTTTACATAGAGGGTGGTTTGCATGTGGAATGAACTTCCTGACGAAGTGGTGGATGTGGGTACAATTATAATGTTTAAAAGACATTTGGATAAGTACATGAATAGGAAAGGTTTGGAGGGACATGGGCCAGGAGCAGGCAGGTTGGACTAGTTTAGTTTGGGATTATGTTCAGCATGGACTGGTTGGATCAAAGTGTCTGTTTCTGTGCTTAATGACTCTGATTCTCCTTGTAAGAAAATCCCTCCACACATGGTATAATCTTAGTGAACCTTCTTTGGACTGCTTCCAATGCTAGTATATCCTTCATAAGATAAGAACAAAACTGTTCACAGTATTCCAACTGTGATCTAACTAATTCAGAGATAGTAAGAACTGCCAATGCTGGAGTCAGAGATAACACAGTGTGGAGCTGGAGGAACACAGCAGGCCAGGCAGCATCAGAGGAGCAGGAAAGTTGACATTTCGGGTCGGGACCCTTCTTCAGAAATTTCAGTTCCACGCTGTGTTATCTGTGATCTAACTAATGATCTAACTAATTAATAATAGTTTTAACAAAACTACATTATATTCCATTTCCTTCAAAATGAAGTCCAATAAGGTGCCATCTTGACTGCAGTTCCACTGTTCTCTACACAGCTTGCAAGAACCTCCGGACTGTTGGATAATTGTTGGGGCCAAGGCTCCTCCAATGCTACTGCCTGGGTTCTCATACCTGCCTCACCTGCATGATGCAAATTTGAATTACCTGGACTGAGGAGTGTTACCAGCTCCTGGTGCAAAGTTTCCAGGTCATTTTTCCGTTCCCTTACGTTGCACAGGTCTGTATTCAGACCCCAGCTCTTCAACTCAGATCCAAAGTTCCTTGAGCTACAAATGCTGCTGTCTCCAAACAGTGCCTGTATACAGACCAGCTTCTGCCCTGCCCCTGCAACTGGCAGTGTTGGTATGGCTTCTCTAGTTCAGTATCAGATAAAAAGTGACCCTTCAAGTATAGTGTTGCAACTGCAGGGCAGGACAAAGATGGCTAGATAGAAAATAAAGTGCAGATGATGGAAATCTGAAACAAAAACAGAAGGAGCTGCAGAAATACATTAGGTATGGCAACATCTGTGGAGAGAAAGCAGAGTTAATACTTTGGATTTGGTGATCCTTCTTCAGAGCTGTTTAATGGAGATGATAATTTGTGGTTTGAACAATCAGATAGTTGAGCAGCAGGTCCTGGGGACTGGGGCAAAGACTTGTGAGCAAGCTTGTGGAAACTGTCCCTGACTTGATGATAGAGTGAAGGTCTCTACTCAGACAGCTCAAGATGCCCTGCAATAGAGGCAGCAATGTGAATAACAGGAATTCCTGTGGACAGATCACCGCACGCTTGCCCTTGTGCAGGAATCTACTGGATCACAATGTGGATCCTAGCTCCAAGAGTCACTCCTGGTTCCGGATTCGAATCCTGATTTGCTTTGTGCTTCACCCTGGGTTTTGTGAGTATATCTGCTCCGTTATTTCCGGCTCCGCTCTGGGTTATTTCCCCACTCCACTCTGGGTTCTATTCCCACTCCGCTCCGGGTTATTTTCCCGCTCCGCTCTGGGTTCTTTCCCCGCTCCGCTCTGGGTTCTTTCCCCGCTCCGCTCCGGGTTATTTTCCCACTCCACTCCGGATTATTTCCCTGCTCCGCTCCGGGTTCTTTCCCCGCTCCGCTCCGGGTTGTTTCCCCGCTCCGCTCCGGGTTCTTTCCCCGCTCCGCTCCGGGGTATTTTTCCGCTCCACTCCGGGTTCTTTCCCCGCTCTGCTCCGGATTCTTTCCCGACTCCGCTCCGGGTTTTGTGGGCGTCCCCGGTTGGTGATGATGGCGGCGGAAGGTAACGGCCTTTCCCCGAATCGCTCCAAAGATCTTCTGAGGGCGGAGAGTGGCCTTGGTGAGAAGAAGAGGAGGGAGTGGGGTCTGGGGGGAGTGGAGTCTGAGGGTCACCCGGCTGATTACGGATGATTTTTTTTTCTGGCAGGTTTCAGGCAGAGCCTCGTGGTGGATCCAGCTCATTCCCGGAGTTTAACCCGACCCCAGATCGTCAGAGTCGGAAGGAGCAGCGGTGAGTGTCCCCCACCCCCACCACAACCACAACACCTAACGCCCCTCAACATCCCGAAACTCCCCCCAGCCCCATTCCCCATCCACCCACAACACTTAACCCCCATACCCCTCCGTCCCGTATCCCCCGCCACCACACCCCCGCCAATATCCCTAAAACCTATCCCCCCGGCCCCCCTCCCCCATTCTCTTCCCCCTCCCCCATTCTCTTCCCCCTCCCC